CCATAAATCTCTACCACTTGTCGCTGGCTTCCCTGGCTTGGCTTCTAAGAACACTTCACTCTTCCAGGTCAGCTATCATCTTTGCCCCCAATATGCTCCCATCCAGGCACAATTGCAAGGCTCCTGAACCTGAGTTGAACATGTTCCCATGTTCCTGGCTTCTTCCTATATTCCAGCCCAACTCCGCCAGCATCTCAGGGGAGAGTCGCAAACTCTTATAGTCGTGGCAAGATCTTACTGGCCCCAGAACAATTTCCAACTTGGAAGCATTCCACAAGTTCACCCCCATCAAGTCAAAACATCTGGGAACATTAAAACACAGACAAAAGCCCAAAGTAACCAGTGTAGGCTTCCAAAAGACCCAAACAAGGATCTCCTGAGCACTTTCTTGTCTCAGTGACCAGATAAAACAAGTTACCGATTGATCATTTTTAAAATTATTGTTTACATCTCATCAGTCCCCAGAGAGAACTCTGTAAACCCTTCTTAGCCATAGGCCCCAAACTGCCTAAGTACTTTTTTCTAGCTCCTGATAAAAGTTATCAATGACTACATGTTAACTGAACTCTACTAACACATGGCGTCTAGAAACTCGGTTTTTTAAAAAATCTTTTAAATAACCATACAAACATTTATCAACACACAATACCAACATTAAATAAAATCAATTAATATTTACTAATTCCCCTACTAACCAATCCTAATACAATCATTAACTCATATATACATATAAATAAAATCTAAAAATTCCACATAACCCACAATAAAACATCAACAAAATATTAAATAATTATTCAAAATACACAAAACAACAATAAACCACAAAAAACAAATCAATTCAAATCTGCACATCATTATCAAAATCAATCAGGGTAAGGGATAGGATGTTTGCTCTCGATAGTAAGATATTTGTTTGTATGAGGACACAAGAGGCGTCTGTTTTTGTATGTTTTGTGGTCGGATTTTGGTGCCCAGGTAATTTGGTTGTGTTCTTTGGTGGTGTGTGTCTCTCGCTCGCGACACGGAATGTGTGTGGGATGCTACCATAGTTTTCGTGGTTAGGAGTGATTTTGGTTAGCAGTATGTGGCATGTATGGTTTTTATCTCTCTCTCTCTACTGCGCCACTACTAATCATTATTATAGAAATATGGAGTGGAGAGTTGGGTGGGATGTGCTAGATATCGATGCTCGCGTAGATACCATACCTTATAAATGCCCTGGTTTGCTATAGCCGCAACCTCATCCTTCCTTGTGCGTACGCTCACAGGTGAGGATGGGGTGTGAGTTGTTTACGTTGAGTGCTGAGAGAGGGTACATAACTCTCCACTTTGGGGGGAACACATGCACCTGGGTTTTGAACTCAGTGCTCCCAGTACTAAAGGCCCCACATTCTTCACAAACGATTTGCTTATGCGGGAGATGCAGTGAAGTTTGCCACCAAGAGATTATAAAATGAGGAAATAGCCCGGTTTGTAGTAGTTTAAGACATTTTTAATGTGAGGGCCTCATTTTGTTGTTGTTTCTTTAAAACAGCCTGTGTGTTTTTGTGTACGTATTATGGTTTTGTGTACGGCTGGATCTCAAATAGGGGTACATTCAGTAGACAAAGTCAGGTTTGGTAGCTTCAAAGGGACCCTAGGGGATGTGTAAACCCATTCCCTTACTTTACACGTGAGAGAAGAGGCCCAGAGAAGGGAACCGAAGTTCCCAAGGTCATACAGGGGAAGCTGCCCTGGAGCCCTCTCTCCTGCTCCCTTCATGCTCTAGGATGCCCTTGGCGTAACCCCACGCCACCCCATCCAAGCATGGAGTTTAAGACGCCTTCTGAACCCAGGTGATGACCTGGCAAGGTTCACGGCTGTTTGTCAAATTCCTCTTGGCTGTGATTTTCGCTAACTTTGGAGGAAATAACACGAATGCGAAGAATTCACTGAAGAAATTCTGAAGCATTCGGTTAATGTTTCATATTGATATAGGTGGAAGACTGAAGCCACCAAAGGTGAAAAGAATGAGGAATGAAGAAGGGAGCACATTCCAAAGTCGGGTTATTCTAAACACCTGCAAGTCCTTTCTGTGTCATTGGAGGCTGTGGCCAGAGAGAGGCAGAAGCCAAAATATCTCCTTTGGCATTTCCAGCCTAACCTTCCTCCCTGAGTTGCATCTATAAAACATCCTATCACAACAACGGTCACAGCAGCGTTATTCACTACAGCCAAAAGGTGGAAACAAGCCAAATGCCCATCAACAGATGGCTGGATAAATAAAACTCGGTCCATACACACCATGGAATATTATTTAGCCCTAAAAAGGAAAAAAATTCTGACATCTGCTACAACGTGGATGAACGATAAAGCGGCTATGCTAAGTGACATAGGCCAGACACAAATACTGCATTTGAGAGAGAGAGAGGGAGAGAAAGGGGAAGAGAGAGAGAGGATCTAAAATAGGCATCACAGAGACAGTAGACCAGAGGTTTCCAGAGCTGGGGGAGGGGCTAGGGGAGTTATTGTATAATGGCTACAGCGTTCCTACAGCTCAGGAAATGTGTAGTGATGACAGCTGTACAGCATTGGAAATGTACCTAGCACCGCTGAATTATGTATTCTCTAAAATGGTTAAAACGGTAAATATTTCTTTTACGACTTAAAACATATTAAAATGTGGATTGCGTTCCTTCATTTCTCACTTGGAATTCCTAACTCATTCACTGCCATTAAAGCCCAAACTTCTTTTCAAGATCTGCTTACTGCCAACAGCAACATGGCCCTTCTATGCATCCCACACATGTGGAGAAACACAATCACACCTGGGTCACTTTGTGTCCTGGGGACCCATCCACAAACACATATCCATCTTGAGGCCACTCACAAGGGGACTCCGACAAGAAGACCCACAGCGACACTAATGCAACCAGTGTTTCTGGACACCCTGACAACCAAACATACCGACACAGAGTCCCAGCAGGACCCTAGATTCCTCACCATGGACGGGGAGGTAGGTGGGGGGAGAATAGATATTTACTACTGTATCCTTCCTCTACCTAAGAAAACTGCATGCACCTACCAGGAAGACCTTCGGGGATTGCTAACCCAAGCTTGCTCCATCAGGCCTATGAACAAAGAGATTTCAGCCCATACATGGCTATTTGGTGAACTCGGCAATTGCATGTTACACCGAACAGTGGGTGTCCTTAATGCAAACGCATATAATTAGGAGCTAAATCTTTGTACCTTTACAGGACAAAGGCTATAATAAGCAGGATGTACCACTTGTGACTTCTGAGGAAAGGAGAGCTTTTTCATTTTTCCTTAAAAGAATCTATTTCTCATGAGGCAAAGAGAATCTGAGAACAGGAGTCTTTTGAGACGGAAGCAGGGAGGAGGGTGCCGAACATGAGTTTTGTGCAGTATAGTCAGAACTTGTCGCCCAGGCCTGAGAGGTGCCAACCGGTACCATACCATGACCTCTACTCAACTTATTTAAAGGTTTTCACAACCTCATCCTCTGTTGTGGAAACCTTTCCATTGCCTGTAGTCTGACAACAACAGAGTTCCACAAGCTTTTAAAGATCTCAAGAGTTTGTAAAGAAAAACAATTTCCAGTGACGCTTTCCGTTGCCGACACACGTGGACATTTAGCGCCAATAAGCTGCCAGTTGTAAGAAGTCCACTCGACATCGTTCCCTTGTGCATCCTAAAGGCACATGGCAGGATCACACTAAGATATTTAGAGGCAAACATCTCTAGAATAAGGTTTCATTCCCAAAGTGATTAATTAGCAGGAACACTATGCTAGAGATCTGTCCTTGAATATGCATGCATTTTAACCTCCATGCTATTTTTTCTAAAGCACAAATTTTCCTCTCGCTGCATGATGGTCAGGAAATCCCTGGGCACAGAAAACCGACTGTCTTAGGTGGTGATCCACAAAATGAGTTCCGTCTTTCCAAGTCGGTTTTAACTGCCTTACAGGGTGATATCCTGGTTTACGAGAGAGACCATCCTTTGGAGTCCAAATGGTCTTCCCCCCATTCGTTTAGGATGAGCCATACTCCCACGGCCTAGTTATGGCTGAACTCCTCCAACACTTCCCACCAACCTCTTCTGCCCTCAGGCCTTCCTCCCACCTCAATTTCAGCCAACCATGTTTACAAGACACTAGTTAGCAAATCCCAGTTCACATGAACCCATCCGTTTGTTCAGCAGAAAGTGGCCTCTGGAGTTCCTCCATGTGAAGCCCATAGACCAGAGTTACATATGGCAGGCCTGCAAACGCGAACAGGATATGATTTATTTATGACGACCATGTGTGTTTGATGCCCAGTTCCAGCAGGCTGTGGCTTCCCTCCCCTGCCTCCGTCTGAGATGACCTATCTGCTCACTGTGTCCCATTTCAGGTACTATATTATTTCCATGCTGGGGACACAGAGACGTGCGACCGGCTGGGGGCCCCACACACAGATGCCCCTGGCCCTGCCCGCCATACAACAATCTGTGGCCAAACAGAAAGTGGGCCGAATGTGACTTGCTGCAAAGGTCTGCCATGTACAATGGTTTTGGGGGGAGAGTGGAGAAGTAGCTGCCAGAATGACTGACCATGTGGGGCTCATTAAACTGTTGTGTATTTACCCACAAGGAAGGCTGGGATGCAGGTGAAGGGAGCTCTGCTCCTCATTTCAAAGATTTCAAGCCACCCCCCCCACCACCACCACCATTTGGCAGTGATGCTCCAAAGGTAAATGGCAGATAGGCATCAGGAGGTCCAAAGGTGGACTCCACTTAAGTGCTGTAAACTTCTGCCTTCCACGACTCCCCCCTTCCCCCCCAGTTGTATTTATACTTTGAAAGAAGTTAACATGAGGCAGTAGTCACCTGGGCGTGCTCGATTTTTGACAAGGCTTAGTCACTCTGTACCCAGCAGAACAATTCACATTATAGTCGAAATCCTGTGAAGACTCTGCCACACATGCTAACACTAAAATGCCAGTAGCTCCACTTACCTTCTTTATTAAGCCTCATAACCTCCCTGCTTTTTCCACCCTCTTTTCCAGCCTCTTCTAAATCTACATCTGCAGATGAAAAAGAAAAGAGGAAAAGAAAATGAGGAGAAAAAAAAAAAAAAGATCAAAAAGGGGGGGAAAAAGCCAAAGTCAAGGAGGGTGGGGGGGAGGGAGAGTGTTTATTTGCAAACAGATCGATAGAAATACTGTACGTGAAAATCTCTCAAAAATTGACAATGCAACGTTTTCTCCCAAGTCCGGATTGCCATCCACCTGGCCCAGATAGGTACCAAAAAAACTATGCAAGCAGCAACAGAGTAGCCTTTTAAACAGATCCACCGTGGGGCTGTGAAAGCCCACCCCGCGGGCTGCCACGGGGAGCCCGGCACAGACAGACAGACAGACAGCCCGCCCTGGCAGCAGGGCCTCTCTCTGTGCATTGATGATCTGTCCCGGTGTGTATTTATTTAGGGAGAGAGGGAGAAGCATGGACGACACCGGGGGCCACTCTGTCTCTCACACACACACTTTTTCCCAGTGGCTCTAGGTGAATGGAAAGGTTACAGGATAATAAAAGGAGGAGGAGGCGGTGGGGTTCTTACTGTCGGAGCAGTGTAATTTGGCGGCGTCGATCCAGGAGGACCAGGGTTTGCCCAGAAACGCCTCCGGACTGGGCACTTTGCGATCCAGTGTCGCCATTGCTCTTCCTTCTTGTTGCTTTTTCCCTGTTCCTTCGGCAGCAGCAGCCGAGAGACACGGGATTCGAGAACGCTCCGACGTCATCTTCGGAACGTTCCGACATTGAGTGCTCTGAAAGGGGGAGGGCGGGAGGGAGGAGGAGGGGAGGGCGGCAGGGAGGAGGCGGAGGGGGAGGAGGAGCCGGAGCCCGAGCCCGAGCCGGAGCCCGAGCGCGAGCCCGAGCCCGAGCCCGAGCCCGAGCCCGAGCCCGAGCCGGAGCCCGAGCAGGCGCCGGGGGCGCGGCCGCGGGGGGCAGCAGAGAGGCGCCTGCAGCTCGCCGCCCGCCCGCCCGCCCGCCGGGGAGGGGAGGGGAGGGGAGGGGAGGGGAGGGGAGGGGCCGCCTCCGGAGGAGGGGAGGGGCTGCCGGGGGAGGAGAGGGGAGGGGCCGCCACCGGGGGGAGGGGGAGGGACCGCGCGCCGGGGGAGGGGCGGGGCCGCCGGGGAGGGGCGGGGCGGGTCGGGGCGGGGCCGCCGGGGAGGGGCGGGGCGGGTCCGCCGGGGAGGGGCGGGGCGGGGCGGCGCGCCAGGCCCCGGCGGCGGCGGTGCGCGCGGGCGCGGGGATGCTGCGCCCGGTCACCGCCGGCACCGCCTTCTCGTGCGCCCGGAGGCCCGAGCCGGGGTCGGAGGGGCCGGGGCGCGCAGACCGAGCGGGGCGGGGGCGGGGGCCGGCCGGGGAGAGGCACGACCCCGCCGAGCGGCCTCCAGACGACGGAAAGTTTCCGCACGCCGCCCTTGCAGCGCCCTTCCCTCGCCGGCTCCCTGTGGTCCACGGTGAGGTGCCCCCGCGGAGACCCCCGCCGCCGCGGTCCGCTGGGTGCACGGGTGGGGGGGAGCCGGACGGGCTTTCCGCCTCCGGGCATCCCCCTCCCCCGCTCCTGCAGCCCGGGGCGTGTGGGGGTGGAGGGGAGCCGGACAGGTTAGCCCCAAGAGCATCCCAAGCCAGGAGGCGACCCTGGTGGTGACCTGTCCTCCCAGCCCTCCTCCCACTCCCTTCACCCTTTCTTTCCTGTCACGGTGGACCTGGGGACCGTGGGGGGGGGGGTGTCCGCGGATGCCTTTGGGAGCTGAGACCAATGGGTGGATGGAAGTGGTGCTTAAAAGAAAAAAAAGCAGGCGAGTCTGGGGCCATCTCAGGCGGCGGGACATTGCAAAGCCCAAAACTCAGGGTCGCGGTGTCCCCGGACGCGCGGCGCGCGGTGCGTGTCTCGGGTTCTGCGGGAACCACGGCGCAGCCCCTGCTCCAGGATCACGGTGGCGGGAGGGCACCCTCAGCGCTCGGAGCAGGCTGCTTGCTGGGCCCAGCCCTGGAGCAGTTTGCAGCGCTCCCTGCCGTGATTCTAGGGTGGCCCCGTCAGCGACCTGCGCCTGCAACCTCCGGCCCGGGAATCTGACTCCCGGGAGCACTCCAGGCTTAACTGCGCTAGCCAGCTAGAAAGGAAGCCTTAGATGTCCTCTGAATTTTGGGTGTTTGGTGCATTAATTGACATTTCTCCTCCTCTCCCTAGGGGTAGGCAAGAAAGGCCTTAAAAGTTCTGGTATCTCGTTCTCTTTTTCTCTCTCTCTGAATCCTTTCATTTACTAGGAATTACCTAAAGTATATGGGCACTCCCTCACAATCAATGTCTTTTTTATTTTCCCCAGTACCCTTTTCGTTCTTACCACTTTTGTTTCTGCCCAGTGGCCGAAGAACACTGATTTGAAGTTGCTCTGGACTGTCCTGGCTATGCCATCTATCTAATGCCTCTGCACTTGGCATCCTGTGCCTCAAAGCCAGGGTTAGGATGGGCAATGAAGGAGGAGCTATGGACTGGTCTTCAGTTGTGATGTTTGTGTGGATAGGCTTGTGTTTTGTCAGACCCAGACAAGTTTGATTTGCCTCTGCTGTCTTTGGAAGGGTTCCTCCATAGGGACCACTAAGTGGCTAACATGCCAGCAAGTGGAGAATTCTCATTTTAAGAGTTGGTGCTATTAACAGATATTTATTACTTTTTGATTTCTTATGATATGCTAGACAATGTGCTTGACATTTCCTTCCAAATATCCATCCATCCATCCATCCATCCATCCATCCTTTCAACCAATATTGCCTGTCACGGACTAGTGCCATCAAGAGAGGAAGACAAACGAGACTTAGCCCAGTGTGGAGAAGCAGTCTGGTGGTCTCTATGGAAGAAGGAAGGTGTGAAACTTATCAACTCCTCGGAAAAACAAGTACACAGGGACTGGCCAGGGCAGTGAATAGTATGGTCTCTCCGAGTTGTGCCTACCTATATGGGGAGCTAAAATCTGGTTTGGAATGACCCGAAAACGTGTCACAGAGAAGATAGGATTTGCTCTGCACCTTAGAGATTGGGGAAGATGTATCATGGTAAGGTGAAGACTGGTCTTGTGAGCTGCCCTATGGAGAGGCACAGGTAGCAGGGGACTAGGGAGGCCTCTGGCCAACAGAGAGGAACTGAGGCCCTTGGTCCAACAGCCCATGAGGTGCGGTCAATAGCCACGTGACTGAGTTTGGAAACATCCTTTTCTCTAGTCGAGCCTTGAGATGACACCACAGCCCTGGCCCACGTATGTGAGAGACCTTGGGGCAGAGACACCCAGTTAAGTCATGCCTGGATTCCCTTCCCCCTCCCCCCTGTAAACTATGAGTGTAAACTATTGGTGTTTGCTGTTTTAGATTGTTAAATTCTGGGATAACTTGTTACATGAGAATACATAACTGATACAGAATGGTTTATGTATAAAGTGATCAGATAACAAAACAACATTGTCTGAGCAATGCTCCTTGTTCCTCTTTTGAACTTCCTGTGAGCTGTGAATCATCCTTGCCAGCTCAGTGGGACTGGTTTACTCCAGAATCTCCTACATGCCAAGTTTTGTAATTTACCTTTATCCCTGGGCATTCAAATTTTTGCTATTTAAACTCAATCACTACTTTATGGAAAGAATTCATCAAGGACAAGGTCATGATGTAACTGTTGGGAACAAGTCTTTACTGATAGCAACGCTATCACATTGGTGTCCTTACAACCTGCCCTCCTTGAGGTGTGTAGAGAGTAAAGTGATCAAGGGACTCAAGCCCAAAGGTTAGGACCTGCCAGAAAATTCTCCTCTCTCAGGAACCATTTTCGATCATCCAAGAAACCAAAGGTAGCTTATCATCCAGAGGAGTCAGGGCATCTCAGTCTCAGAGAAACAAGGCAACAGTCCAGTATTTTAATATTAGTTTATTCTCCCAGCCAAATCTCTCAAGTAGAGATTATTTCTACACAGCATCCTGAAGCTGGCGGGACAGCCTAAATATTATTCCCTTCTAGCTGGGAGCATTTGAGTTTGTAACATAGTCAAGTATGGGCTGGAACCAAAAAGTGGGTTAGCATCTCTACAAAACAGACAGATGTTGGAGCCATTCATTGCCTGTTTAACTGATAACCAGAACGCGTATACATTACTGCAGTTAGACTTCTGGAGTATAATTGTGGTTTCCACCCTCAGCTTTGCAGTGATTCCACCGACTCTAGAGATAATAACACCAACTTTGTGAAACTCTAACCCACCTGTGACTTAGTAACTGGAGAACATGGCTGTCAATTAAATTATACCACTGGGAGCCAGGGAAGGCAGGAAGCATTGCTCATCACGCTACTAGACTTTTACACTTGACTTTTGATGAAAACTGAGGTCAACGTGGTGCATATATAGTATTATATACATGTCTAGACTTACATATCAACTATACATACGGCAGATTTATTGCAGACTTGAATTCCTTTTGGTAGTAAAGAGTTACAAAGATTGCTAGTGGCAACAAGAATCTTATACATTCTTAATAGGTATAAACAGACCTGCCAAACAGTCATTTAAAGCATATTAATATAACGTCTTTGTGATAAAACTGCCTAGCAAAGGTATAACACCTTCTTCCCTTCATGATTAACTTTTGGGAAGATAAAAAGGGTGTAAATATTTTTATTGTTTTATTATCTTTCTCAGAAAAATAACAGTGGTTGGTTTAATTAAAAAGGAGACTCTTTCGTAGACCAAATAAAGAAATCAGGTCCACAGAGATGGAAAATACCTCCTTAATCTGAATCACACCTGGTTCTGGAGAGATGTGCATCTAATACGCAGCCTGCATTCACTTAGTCTGATTCATGTGCTGTTTTACCTCATTATTGAAAAGAGAAGAGGTAATATTAGCTCTCTCATTTGGGGATATTAAGCTCCCGCTGGGGTCGAGGCACTGTGTGTGCACCCTACTTCCTACCTAGACGGTTGTTGGGAGCTCCCCGGAGGCGACGAGGAGAGAATGACATTCCATTAGAATGAGGCATCCCTGGAATTGTTTGATGTTCTTTGTCTTAATTGAATCCATCTATCCCATCTGCCACTCTTCTCCTGAAATTTATTTCCCTAACCCCCTCTCTCTGAGAATTGTAATTTTGGGGGAAATGTGTTACATACGTTGTTACCTTTTCTAAGAGCTCACCGCATCTGGAGGGCAGGTGTGCTGTCTCCCTCGCCTTGCTAGACAGGGTTGCCTGCCTCTTCCCTGCCCCTCACATGTTGCCGGATCAAAGGGGACTGGAATAAAAGACCCCCAGTAGCAAGTGGAGTAGGAATTCCAGGCTCTGGGTTGTTGGTCTCAATATAAGGCCCTCACCACGTGTCTGGTCTAAATAAACAGGGACTCTGTTAATAAATAGAACCACAAAAACATGCAATTTGCCTTCTGGTTTTGGCAGAAAGGCCCCAAATCGGGAAAGTGCGATGTTGAAGTACAGCTGCCTTGATGCCCCTGGCAGATTCACCTGTGACTTCGTTGCTCTCTCGGAGCTCCCCAGAACCACCGTGATGCTGCGGGCTGAGGAGGTCCCCACTTCCCTGAGTGTGGCAAGGCCAGGTCCTTTTCTATCCATTGCCCTTTCTCAGGGGTCAGACAGGAGTGTCTCTTTAGCATTGTTGTAGAAATCACTTGGCCCTTCACCTAAATATAAATACATACCAATTTGAGACTCTACGTGGACTTATTAATTGGAGCAAAGCCCCATCCCCACCCCTCCAAATTCACCA